CTGACGGGCTTGCTAGAAAGCTTGACATGATCTGGGTGACGCAGGGGAGGTAGAAAATTGGCCTGCGCCTTGACCTTAGCTGACTTGCGTGCCCTGTTATGCCTGAGTTTCGATCCAGCCTTATCTCTGGCCTTTCGACTGCCAGAGCTCGCAGACGAGGGGGAAGTGATGGTCGAGAAGGAGGCCATAGTTGCTGACACTGCCCTGTCGACCACTCGGTCGACCGCTGGCTGCGCAGAATCCGCTTCCGCAAGGTCTTCTTCACCTTGCTCCTCGATGGCAAGGGACACGGCCGTGGAAATCTCGAATGCGGCACTGCCGCTCCCCCAATTATAACCGCATCCCAGGGGGAGAATGCACGTCCAGACCGTGTCTGCCAACCAGTTAGTGGACCCTCCATAGAGTAGGTGGCATTACTCACCACGCAAAAGTTCAGGTCGAGGACATCCGTCACATCGACAAAACTGCCTAAAAACGTATGAGAATTCCGAAAAAACATATAAACTTCAATGAAAAACCTCTGACATTGACATGCATGCCACTATGTTCCTGGGCTCGGGTGCCACCGTGGATGCAAGTCTATGCAGAGGGTTCTTCATTTGAAGATGGGACCATGACTTACCGCTGCGGTTGGGAATCATGCCAGCGCCCGACAAGTGATGATGTGGCAAAAGAATGGCTTGATGTCCTGCTACACCAGAGAGGTGGAACAGGACAGATTTGCGGGATACGACGGTGTGTCGGGACACATTATGTATACTGATGTCCCGCCACCGCGATATGTCTCAAGAGCTTCGAGTACAAGTCTGTGTCCCGCCTCACCACATTCACCACAGTTGCCACAGCTCAGTCCCGCCACACGCTCCCCCACCATCAATGCGACGGGACACGACTCACGTGTCTGCCATGAACAATTCACCATGCCAGTCGTTAAAACCAAGAAGAAGAAGGGGCTAGGTGTTCGTGCTCGCCCATCTCGCGTGCGGAGTTCAACAAACGCGTTTACTGACAACGGGGCGCGCCGCCAACTTCTGAAATCGGTCAACACGCAAGCCTCCCAAGTAAACCGCGACCGAGCTCAAAAGGACATGCAGGAGCAGTACGAGGGTAATTATCTGCTCGAAAAAAATACAACTTACTCACGGTGTCCGTCAGTGTTGACCACTGCTGCTCGTCAGGCATACAACGATGTGCGTGATATTGCAGATTCCGCCAACGAGGATTCCCTGGAGTGGGAAGATGTACCCGACGGCCCGAATGATGACATAGACGCTGCCATGAACGGGCGCGATGGGTTCATGGCCAGCGGTGCTGGAGGAGAACTCCGCGACACGCTCGAGGATGCAATCCGCGAGGATCGGGAGACACAGAATAAAAAGTAAGTCCCGTAACCTCACCTTTTTGAATACATTAATCTTGCGGCAGGCGCGCGCAGGACCGTAGAAAGCGCCGGGACATTATTGCAAAGCAAGTGCACGCATTCGCACCTCAAATGTCGGCGATCATCGACGCCTATGTCGAATGGGGGCTTCAGGTGGGAGACAATTTGGAGGGAGCACTTCCACCACTTGCGATGCCTCTGGTGGAGAAGTTCTATGATATCACCCTTGTGGACATATTCAGTATGTCCTGCACCTCACTAACACTTCTTCTGTTAACCATCAACAGCCACATCCTCGTGCAGTATACCCATGCGTTACACCGACAAGTTTACGACCTCCTGCCTGGTGAGCCGAGGGGTCATACCCTGCGCCCGTGGACCCCTACCGTCGGGTTTTCCACCCGTGTACTGGAGCTGTTTCGTGTCGCCCATCTACGCACTCCAACTTTAGCCATTCAGAGCTGGGTCAAGACTCTCGCAGACCTCCACGGTCTCCCGTTCAAACCGTACCGCGTTCAGCAATTGTCCGTGGCGTATGACCTTTATCTCGCCATCCTCCGGGGCCTCAAAGCGCGGGTAGACAAAGCTATCGGTCGAGATGCGCCTGATTGGCGCTTGAAGAACTGTTGCCCTGCTTGCATGTACAAACTAGAAGGCGAGGCGGAGCTCGTCTTCTCTATTCTTGTCACCGCCGACGGAAATGATTCCTTGAAGCGGGTTCTTCGCCGGGGCGCCCACGAGTACGACGATGAGGGAAACCCACTCCCAGGGAAGTCCAATGAGCGACCAGACCCACGAGCTGCGACGGCTGGGGAACCGTACTTCCTGTCACGAGAGAAGGTTGACCGATGGGCCAAGGATAGATTCAAGGAGTTCATGAGCCCTGATGGGGATCTTCCCCCGGCGGTGAGTCGAGTACTTCCTCCCGGGTTTAGTTCTCACCGATTCAAACAGGGCGGCAATACGGATTCACCCGAGAAGAGTAAGACTGCATGTGAAGAAAGATGGAAGAATCTGTCCGAGGATATCACGAAAAAAATGTGGGGGATTTACGATGAGACGGGATATTCATTTGCCTTTGCAGGCATGGTTTCGTATTGCTGGTGGCGGATATGGTTAAAAGCGGGGAGCTGTAAGTCGTCCTCGTTCTGCATATGGCTGGCACTGAGCGGCTGATTCACAGATCCAAGTACCCTCTCGCCATCGCCGATGAGCTCCTGGATGCCTTTGATCGAGCCATCGGTTTCGGATATGACATAGGATGTGGATTCAGTACCACTATTTTCAATAGCCCACTTGGGCACAGGGCTCTTCTACAGAATTTCAGTTGCCTTGTTGGAGCCTTTCATGGCCACGCGCACAACCGCCTCTGTCAGTTACTGTTCTTAGCCCGATATGTCCTCGGGATGGGTCTCGAAGACCTTGAGGGATGCGAAAGATTTTTTTCCAGGTCGAACGCCATGGCGGGCTCAGTCCAGTATGCAAGCGTCTTCCACAGGCTCCAAACACTGTCAACCTACTTTGCGCACTCTGACACTCACGACACTTACGCAAACCTCAGTGAGTTCTTTCCCAAAGTCTATATTCCCTCTTACTGAAATGTATCTAGCTAAGTTCCTGGTGGATAACTACTGGCAAGCGTTGGAGGTTCTAGACGGAGAGGCCGGACTCAAGATGGGGATGGCAGGGGCGGGAATTAGCAGCGTGGAGGAATTCCCGGCCCGCCTCAAGGCCGAACTTGAATATCTGCGGAGCCTGACCTCCGACACAGAAGAGGACACTCAACACATGGAATACTACCAGCGTCTGGTAAACCTCGCTGATCGCAAGTAAGTCATTCTGGTCTATTTTCCTTTAAAGTCGCTCACTTCAATTGTCCTGCCACTTCCATCATCTCCACCTTGTGTCCCGCTCATCATCCCCGTGTCCCGATACACCTTTTCCACCGCCGCCTTTGTGTCCCGCTCATCATCCCTGTGTCCCGATACACCTTTTCCAACGCCGCCTTGTGTCCGCTCACCATCCCGTGTCCCGATACACCTTCCTTGTGTCCCGCTCACCGCTGCCTTGTGTCCTGCTCACCACACCCACCGCCCCGGTGTCCTGCCATACTAGAGCCAAGCTCGACCTTGCATTGGGTGAAACGCCAGGGGCCACTGCGAGCATGAAGCTTCACGCTCGCGAGAACTACAACATGGCGTTGACAGACGTACAAGCATCGGAGAGTAAGATGGGAATACAAGTCCGCTGGCTGGCGGAGAGCCAAGAATGGGCAGATGCAGCACATCTGGTCAGCACAAAGAGATACCGTCTAGCGCTGATGAAGTTGGAAAAGCTTGTGGTGCAGCGGATGTTCGAGCTCACCAAGATGAATTTATCACAAACAGGTATCTTCTTTGTGTTGATCGCCAATTCCAGCTCTAAACTACCCCTTAGGCTACAAACTTCGCAAGCATATTGCGAAAGCTCTGCAGGCCCGCTCCCAGGCTATTCGAACGGCACTCAAAAGCTACAATATCGCCGCCGCTGCCATGGTACCGCCTGGGAGGAAGCTTACTTGGTCAGAGGTCGTGGAGTATGCGTTCCTCTCGGACTTTGACCTCCTTCACCATCCAGAGAGGGGTATTGAGGTTCGAGCATGGGCAGACCCTGCAGCCAGGCTACTCATGGACACCTACTTCAAGATTGAACGTGCTCGGGAGGAGATCAAGCGGTGCGATATTGAAATACGGCGTCTTGTGACTCACATTAGGGATGAGGGGGAGTTCTTGGTGTCCCGGGAGAAGAAGATCGCCGAGACTGACCCAGGCCTCGCCTGGTGTGTTCGACGCCATGTCAACAGCGCGAACGCTATGATGCCATCCATCTCCAACGCCTGAATAAATTCGCGGTCAAGGCTGGATCCCGGTTCACAGGGACACTCGTTCTGGGCATGGCATTGAGCCCACGCGGCCAGAATGCCGAGCCAATGGAGGGTGTGGAGGAGCCCGCACAAACCGATGCAGAGGCCACTGCCATTGAGCTTGCTAGGGCGATGGAGAACATGGGAGTACATGATGTGGAGCGGGAGATTGATGACGATCTGGGTGACATCGCGGAGGACGCACAGTTGGCGGAGGAGTTACATTTGATTTATATTGCGTCGGAGGACTGATTTGGCCTTGTAATGTATACTGATTTTTTATTTCATCGTGAATTGAGCGGGACATAAGGAAGACGGGTGGCGGGACAGAGGAATAAGCAGGACATAGTAGTGGGATACAAGATTAATCAGGACATAAGGAATATAATCAATTACATCAACACAATTACAAGGGAACCCTTACTCAGAGATGTGTTGGTAGTAGTGGCCCTATGGTGCAGTGGTATGCACCGCTGTTAAAGATAATCGTCTTTTCAATTTTGCAGCAGCTGTGTTGGGTTCGATTCCCAATAGGGCCATTTTTTAAATAAAAAAAAGCGTGACACAAGGAAGATACAGAGGGACATAAGGTTATCGGGACATAAGGAGGATAACGAGGGGCTCGAGGTTAATCGGGACAAGGGAAGGAGGGACATAAGGTTATCGGGACTAAGGAAGATAATCAATTACACGTCACTCAAAGACCAGGTTGCTGACGGCCTTATGGTGTAACGGTAAGCACTGCTGCTGCATCTACTTGCACTCTGCGCAATGTCGGTTTAAGCAGCCGGGTTGGGTTCGATTCCCAATGGGGCCCTGCTCCTGAGAGATATTCATTTTTCCCCCTTTGTATCGTCTACATGGTGTAACAGTAACACACCTTGATTGTATATCGCCTTTTCACACCCGTTATCAAGATAATGTGGGTTCGAATCCCGCTGTGGACTTACTTTTGGAGCTAGTTTTTGGGTCCCGCGCCACCCTCTCTCAATGTCCTGCTTAAGTGGGTGATGCCTCGGACAGTATCTCAACTGTGTTGTTGTCCACATGGTGTAATGGTAACACGCTTCGATCGAGTGAAGGAGAAACCTCATCTGATTGAGGTGATGTGGGTTCGAATCCCACTGCGGACTTTCCTTCGGACACACCATTTTTGGTCCCGCACCACGGCATCTAAATGTCCCGCTTCAGTCAGACTGTGGATGGTGTTCCTTATGTCCCGCTTACTCGTGTGTCCTGCTACGACCGGTACCTGCTAGTTATGTCCCGTGTACTCATCTGTCCTGCTCCCACCCATATCTATTCCTTATGTCCCGCCTACTCATATGTCCTGCTACGACCCATATTTGTTCCGTATGTCCTGCTTACCCGTGTGTCCTGCTACGACCGGTACCCGCTGGTTATGTCCCGCGTACTCATCTGTCCTGCTCCCACCCATATCTGTTCCTTATGTCCCGCCTAATCATATGTCCTGCTACGACCCATATTTGTTCCTTATGTCCCGCTTACCCGTGTGTCCTGCTACAACCGGTACCCGCTGGTTATGTCCCGCGTACTCGTCTGTCCTGCTCCCACGCATATCTGTTCCTTATGTCCTGCCTACTCATATGTCCTGCTACGACCCATATTTGGTCCTTATGTCCCGCTTACCCGTGTGTCCTGCTACGACTGGTACCTGCTGGTTATGTCCCGTCTACTCGTCTGTCCTGCTCCCACCTATATCTATCCCTTATGTCCCACCTACCCATATGTCCTGCTACGACCCATATCTGTACCTTATGTCCGCTTACCTGTGTGTCCTACTACAACCCATATCTATTCCTTATGTCCTGCCACGACCCATATCTGTACCTTATGTCCCGATCAATGACCCTCAAGGGGGCAGGACATTGTCCCGCTTGGTGTTATGTCCTGCCACCACGCGTAGCTCTCCCCCTCCCACCCACGAAGGCTCTATGTCCCACCCACGGTCGACACCGCTACCCCCCCACTTAAGCGGGACACGTCCCGCCTGCGAAGCTTTTCGCGGACGGTGGTGGAACTGTCCCGCCCGGTCACGCTGGTAGCAACGGGGTATCGGAGGGGCACCTTTGGCCTGGGCTCAGTCTAGTTAGAGGCGCCATAAGCGGGACATGGCGCCTCTAACTAGACTGGTTACTTGGTATTAGCAGGTGGGACGGGCGACAGGATGGATCCGAATGGTCAACATCTTAGTCTTTAGCTTCTTTTACCTACGCTTTATGGGTATGGCAGAGTACTTTTACTCATTCTCCCATTGTTATATCTAAGATCACTTCCAGTTGAAGCATGTCAAAGTATTCACTGGAGTACATTCATACCACATATATAACCTTATTAGTAGCTATCTCCATGTTCTAGGAATTATTTCATTTAGGGCCTGAACAGATGTGCTAGAAAATTTCCCAGAATCTCACATGTATACGAAACCCATCACTGAACTATCCTAGAACCTCTAATTTGTTGAGAGAAATGGTGGCGCAGAGGGGCAGAAGGCACCTTGTGAGGACGATTAAGTTTGGGGGTAATTGAACTGCATTATTCCACTGCAACTCGAGTGCCTATATACAGAAACATGTGTAATATCTACTCAGTCAAAGGTGGTCCAAGTAACTGTGAATCGTGAGTCTCCGTAACCTAATTGAGCTCCGTTGTCTGAACTCCGTCTCTTGAACACCGAGCTGAACTCTGCAGCTCTATTTGGGTTTTATCTGTTTAGTCCCCGCCTCCGTTAACTTACTGTCAAGTCCTCTGTCTCCGTAACTCCATTGAGTTCTCCGTCTCCGTGCTCCAACTTCGTCTGCGGACTTCAATGAACAAGTGTGGGCTTCTAACCGCTTGCCAAATCACAACATAATTCAGCTATTCTATCAACACCTTCGCACCGAGAGTGGCAGAAAAAATGTGTATTAAAATTTTCAACAACAGCCTAGAATGGAACAAGAAATTCCAAGTTTAATTCTAGGATTCTTGAAGATTTTCAACCCTACACAATCTCGGCAACCTCTCGCTTGAGCCCCATTCAACAATCCGTCCTCAACAATTCGGGGTCCACCTCAGGTTCGCGTTCACCTTGGGCAAATGGGGGCAAAAGTTTGATACTATTCGAGAGTAGCTTAACCTAGAATTCCAGTCAATGCGGACCAATATTGACCCTGATCTTCATTGTGAGGTTAAAAACGCGTTTTTCACCGTCTATGACCCTAGGCGGCCGAGTCACGAAGAAATCAAAGGGAGATATGGGAACCGTTCGATTCACCCGCATCCCACTTCCATGTCCATATTTTTCTCCTATTTTTATATTTTTCCCTATTTTTCGGGCAAGAAACGAGTGATCTCGCTTCCAGGACAGTCGAGGCAAGAATTTTTGTCAGACCCCCTCCCCGTTTTTCCCAGTGCGCGGGGAGGGGGGGTTATATTATACTCATCAGGTCCACAATATGAATGATGATTTTACTGAAGGTGTACATGTGGTACTGTAAGGGTCGTCCAAAACGACGCAACCTCGCGATAAATCATCTCATTGTCCCAACTGCCAACTTGAGGTCATGCAATATTGTTAGACAGCATGTAATACTTGTGTATTTCCAGTGTCCGTAGATTACCAACAGAAAGAAATTGGTAAGTTGGACTTGGCCGGATCAGACACACTTGAAAGCCATGGATAGCACCCAGTGGAACCGAGAAAAAAATTAACATAGGAAGCTTGAGTAAAAACAGTTGGCATGGAACATTTACTGCTATCACCGGATACAGTACAGTCTGTCTTGGTTAAATTTGGTAATTCATTCGTCAAAACACCGGGGCCCTCTGGGTTTGCTGATGCAGATTCAGCCTCGGCCTCAGGTGAGACGTGCGACCATCATATTTATCATTCAACTTTAATTCAATCTGACCGCGGGTAAGGCGTATTTGGCCGATCCAGCTTCTCAAATGCTCCGGTTATCATTAAATTACAGCTGTTTGCAAAGCTAATGGCACCAACGATCATTTTATAAATAAGAGCAAATTAAATACTTCCACTTTTGGAACACTCACTGTGGGCTCAATTCTTCACCGTTTTCCTTATGTGCAGGTGCGTTCAAACCCTATTTGACGGCTCTTTCTTCCCAATATAGCCTGGGCTCCTAATTCTATATTCCATTTTTCGAATTTATTCAGATCCATACATGGTCACATCTAAAAGAAGGTTGTCAATCGCTGTTCGAACACGCCTACTCACGAGGAAAACGGTCAAGAATTGAGCTAGTACTGACCTCCGCAAGACGGGAACTAAGTAATTTGCTCTTATTTATAAAATGATTGTGAGTGCCATTAGCTTTGCAAACAACTGTAAGTAGCCTCAAAATCGGCATAGAAGAGCTGAAGAATTGGTTGGGAGACGAAAAACTAATTTTCGTCGGGTGCCGGGACAAAGTGACGCCAAAGTCAGACTCGGTTCGACTAAGTGGTGACCTATGACCAAAATAAGATAGGTTCAATTCACTGGCCATTAATATTGTGACCTGTGACCTGAATCTTCGGTCGAAATGGTACAGTAGTGGTGACATTTGGGCACTCTGGCAGTTCGCCGCCCCGAATCAGTGTTGCCGTCGGGTAGCCGTGACCACTCCGCGCCGAGGTCAGTGCTCGAGTGTGCGACTGTGTGCGACGGCATCGGAAGTGGCGTGTTGGGATCGCTACCAAAGAAGGAAATGTCGAGTGATCGTACGGTTGATCGGGGAACTGTGAAACGAGAGACAAATAAATTTAAAAAGTGTCTCCGAGAAATGGGTATTTTCGAGAGGTACCTGTCAAGAGATCTCCTACACCGGATCCGAAAACTGAATTGAGGTCTCCACATTAACCGGACACAGCCATCACTCCTGAAAATCTGGAATTTCGGGGGCCCTGATAACGTTCCCGAAACCTAAAGTATCAGATACAGAGTAGATGCTCCCGAAACCGCTCCTGAAACAAAAGGTTTCAGTGGGCAGGCCGACGGTCGGGGCCGGCCCGCCCACCGAAATGGTTCCCGAAACAAAAGGTTTCTGCAGCGCAGAAACTGTTCCCGAAACTTTCCGTTTCGAGAACGGTTTCCGAAGCGCTGAAGCCATTAGTTTCGGGAGCACCTACTCTGTTCCTGATACTTTAGGTTTCGGGAACTTTATCAGGGCCCCGAAAGCTCGGATTTTCCGGAGTGCATCCCCAAATCGCATAATTTCCCGAATAATGATTGTAAATGGATTGTTCGGCGGGACCAGACACTTATCGAGGCGATTGACGCTATTTCTGCCATGTCCAGCAGTTCAAAACATGATTTTGAGTGCTCTTTTGATACATATGTGCCCCTCCCAAAAAGTCGCACTTTCTGAAACTTCTTCCAAAAAGTCTCGGCTTTCTCCGACGGGTACCCGTTGGTATTTGCGTGGCACTTTAGCGCTTTAGTCCATGCCTCACCTCACGGAAATTGCCGAAATCGGCAAAGCACACTTCCACACTGGAATGATTTCGCGAAAGATTACCGGTTTCCCTGACGCTTCTACTAAATACTGCGTCTGGCTTTATTTCCATATGGTCGTATTTCTTCATTCTAGCCATACCACTGTCTAACTCTGAGTGCTGTTTCCTATTGATTTCCGAGCAGGATGTCCATATGAATATATACTCCTTCACCACTGTTTCCGGGCTGCCGAAATCAATCATGAAAAAAACCTCTAAATATGACAGCATATGGAGGCTTCCAGACGATGAGAAATTATTGGAGGGTCATGATGCCGTTGTCTGGAAAAGTGCTGTATCACTGGGTTGACATTTGAA